CGGATTTAGATATCCGCACTCACGGGGGCAACTTCGCTATTAGTATAAGGATGTTAGTATAACATTATAATTGTGAGTTGTTTTTTTTACTACTGCTTCAATATTAGTAGGTTTAGTATTTTCAGAACACTTCCTGAGCATCTTCTTATCTTCATAGGGCCATGTTTTGTTTAATTTGTTGTTCTAATTGTTTTTATAGCATGTGTTTGAAAAGCATGTTTCTATTTTACTAACTAATTTGAATTAATTTTAACATCTGATCTTAACAGTTTCACTTCTTACTATATTTTATGGTTTCATAAAATTTGTAACAGCCGATCGCTAAAGAGAAAAAGAAGAAGAAGAGGAGATTGGATTTATGCCCCGCCCTTCACTACCCAAAGGAGTCCCAGAGCGGTTTACAAACTCCTTTCCCTTCCCCTCCCCACAACAGACACACCCTGTGAGGCAGGCGGGGCTGAGAGAGCTCTTGAGAGAAACTGCCCTTTTTCAAGGACAGCTGTGCCAAAACTATGGCTTACCCAGGGTCATGCCAGCAGGTGCCAGTGGAGGAGTGGGGAACCAAACCCGGCTCTCCCAGATTAGAGTCCGCGCACTTAACCACTGCACCAAACTGCCTCTCAGTGCAATAAATTCTGCTGCACTGTGTCCTGTTTTGGAGACGTCACCACCCAGAACCTCTCCCCGTTTCTCACACACACCCCCACCTACAATACTGGAGTTCGAGCTCTAGCCTGCCTTGCAGGATCGTTGTGAGGATCACTGAGACGGAGTGGGCTCAAGCCCAACAAAGCTCAGGCGATACAAAATGTGTTGGCTGTCAAGGTGCCACGAGACTCTTTTTCGGAAGGGCTTCCAAAACTCCGGTGCAGTCTGAGAATGTGAGGGAGGGTAGGAAGCCTCCAGTTGTTGGCGGGAGGTCTCCTGGGGTTACGACTGATCTCCAGGCCACAGGGAACTGTTCCGCTGGAGAAAAGGGCCACTTTGGAAGGTGGACTCTCTGGCCTTATAACCTGCCGAAGTCCCTCCCTGCCTCAAACTGCGCCCTCCCCAGGATCCAATGCCAAAGCTTCCAGGAATTTCCCAGTCCTGAGCTGGAGCAGGAGGAGGAGATGGGATGTGTACCCCATGGCCTTTCACTACCCAAAGGAGTCCCGTAGCCACTTACAGTCTCCTTTCCCTTCCTCTCCCCACAACAGACACCCTGTGAGCAATGCTTCCTCTAAGCTAGTGGTGGCGAACCTATGGCAGGGGTGCCAGAGGTGGCACTCAGAGCCCTCTTTGTGGGCACGCGTGCCATCGCCCCAGCCAGGCCCAGACCATCATTAAAGTGTCAAATTCTCTGCCAAATAATTTTAAGAAAATGAAAGCATTTGGGATTGCTTTCCTTACTTTGTTTGGATCATCTTAAGTCAATGTATGAGTTGTTTTTTCTAAAGTAAAACCTCAGTATTCAGGTTAAATTGCTGTGTTGGCACCTTGCGATAAATAAGTGGGTTTTGGGTCGCAGTTTGGGCACTCGGTCTCTAAAAGGCTCGCCATCACTGCTCTAAGCTGTGGAACCTTGTGAGCAAAAATCCTACTTTTTTTAGCTACTGGCATTAAGAAGAAGAAGAGATTGGATTTATATCCCTCCCTTCACTACCCAAAGGTGTCTCAGAGCGGCTCACAAACGCCTTTTCCTTCCCCTCCCCACAACAGACACCCTGTGAGGTAGGCTCTGGAGCCATCCCTTCCTGAGCTAAGACAAAACTGTGTGAGCCGGAGGCTAAAAAAACTGTGAGCTGGCTCATCCTAACTCAGCTTAGAGGGAACACTGCCTGTGAGGTAGGCGGGGCTGAGAGAGCTCTCTTGAGAACTGCTCTTGAGAGAACAGCTCTGAGAGAACTTGTGACCGACCCAAGGTCACACCAGCGGCTGCATGTGGAGGAGGAGTGGGTTCTCCCAGATTAGAGTCTGCAGCTCTTCACCACTACACCAAAGTGGTCACCCAGAAACCTCCTTCTGACCCTGGCGGCCCCGGTGCATCTGGATCTCACCTTAAAGTTGCGGAAGTCCTCCTTTGGCTTCCCATTCTGCGAATCGATGTCCGGCCGGTAGATCTCGGAGGGGTCGCATCCCTGAGAAGAGAGGAGCTGTGACTGAGGGGGCCAAGGCAGTGGCGGACCTATAGTTTTGGGACCCTGAAGGGTGACCTGTTATGGGGGCCCCTTCTCAACCGGCAACAATAGGGCAACGGTGCTGCAAGCCAGTGTTCCCTCTGAGCTGAGTGAGTGTGAGCTAGCTCCCGGTTTTTACCCTCCGGCTCACACATTTTTGTCTCTGCTCAGGAAGGATGGGGCTCCAGCCCAGAGCAAACTAATTTATGCAGTAGCCAAATCACCTGCCTGCTCACAACTTTAATGCTGGTAGCTTGCAAAGTAGAATCTTTGCTCACAGGACTCCACAGCTTAGAGGAAGCATTGCTGCAAGCCCCTGAGAAAATTTTGAAATTTGACCAATTACAGGGACATTTTGAGGTTGTATGAAACAGGCATTAGAGTAGGGGTATCGAGCTCATTTGTTATGAGGGCTGGATCTGACATAAATGAGACCTTGTTGGGCTGGGCCATGTGGGTCATAAAATGCTGTCTCATAAAACTGCTGGACCTCCTCAGGGCACCTGGTATTTTTGGCCACTGTGTGACACAGAGTGTTGGACTGGATGGGCCATTGGTCTGATCCAACATTGGCTTCTCTTACGTTCTTATGTAATGACAGGTAGCGGAGATATAAACTTTATAAAGGACACAAACACAAAGGAGTTTTTTTACTTAAAATTAAAAAAAACATGCTTAAAACGTCAGCACTCTTGCAATATTTTGTTTATTTAACTGTGTCTGATAATTGACACCTCTTGCTCTGATAAGCCGCATAAATGGGCATAAAACAGCCATAAATCTATGCAGACAGCCACCGTAAAACCAGAGATCAAACGATGCGAAAGAAGCATGCAGTCTGGACGCTGCCATAAAATCCGACAAGCGATCGAAGTGAAAGTGGCATGCAATGCAGATGGGAATTTCTGTTCCAGTGTGGGTTTGGTAAGACAGTCGAGCAAATGATAGATGCAGATTCAGCCTTAGTCACAACGGAGGTATTAAAGTGGGAAAGGGGCATATAGTTACAATCACACATTCCATTCTTACACGTCAGCAATACCACCCAGACCGTGAGAGATATATGGTCCATCTCTAGCTAATCAAAGTTGTTTCTCCCAAGGACACCTTCCTGTGCGAAAGATGTCTCTTGAGGGCTGCATAGAAGAGTTATACAGGCAAGTGGTTCTACTCCTACACGCATACACTCACTCCCCCCCCCGTAGGAATTTATTATTTTATTTATTTATTAGACTTTTACCCCGCCCTCCCGCCAAGGTAATAGCAGGTAAGGGTGGATGATAAGGTGCTAAAATAATACTCTAGGGGTAAGCAAGGGGAAAGGTTAATACAACAATAGGCAGAGCAACAGACATCAGGATTTTAAGGCACTAATACAACAGGTACAGATAGTCGGCCAACCAGAGCCTGACACCTTGCCAGCAAGTCAGGGGGGCTAGCCTGGAGATGCTCCACTGTAGCTACGAGCCTGGGGTGAACTCTGTGGCTTTATACCCACCACAAACCCCACCCTCCATGCTTGAATCTCCGGTATTTCCTCAACCTGGTGCTGATAACTCCAGGTTGAGGAAAGTGTTTATTGATGGATCCAGTACTAATGATCACATCTACAGCTTGTGTCAGGAATAGCCGACAGTGGGCTTCCGGTCTGGCTAAGATGGAGGACTGAAGCGTTTCGCGATCGTGCGAAGCGAGCGACGGCCACTTTTGACAGTTTGGGCAATACACAGCCCAACGCATCACTCCCCAGCGAGGGGGGGGGACAAGCAGGCAGCAGCGCCCTAGAGGGAGTGTGAGGTTGGCGTAATCCAGCTTCGGAAGAAGCTGAATTGGGCTTTGACCTCCTCCCACGAAGAAGGCAAGTGCCAAGCAACTCTATAGTGGCCGATCGAGCCGGATTACCGGCATAAATTCTTCGTCAGCAGACTTCTTTGAAGAAGGACAACAACTGTGAGTTAAAAGAAACAATGCGAAACCCGTTTTGAACGTGCTAGATAACAAAAACGTGCCGCTTACCTGAACTGAGTTTGGAGTCAATTTGAATTAAGCGGTTGAGCGGAAAATGAATAGTAAATCCCAGAAATCCGATTCCGGAGAGAAAAAAGTTGATTGAAGCCTTTAAAAACTGTAAAAACGCTTATTGTTTAACATTCCTGTGGTGAAGATGGAGCCGTGTGCGCAACTGTAAAATCGAAACTCACGAACAATAGCGTGGGAAGAGCAGGCTGGTGTCACAAAGAAAGAGGTCCGTGTGAAACATCCAGGAAGTTGAATTCCTAGACGGGCATTAGCGAAAGGAAGACAGTGGAACTTTTAAAGGTGCCGGACCGGAAGTGAGTTTTATGCGGAAGGAAGGGCCTGCAAAATACCAATCTGACCTACTCTACATGAAATTACCATAGAGAAGTTGCGCCCGACATTTTGAGGAGGACTTCAACTAAATTTGCTTTTTTAATATATTTCTAAGGGTCTTTGGAAAGCGTAAACAGAGAGGCATGGAGGACTAAATCTTATCATCTAGAAGAGTGCTTTATTTTGCGAATCTGTGAATTGGAAAGAAATCGCCAAGACGGAGACCAGGAGAGGCAAGAAAAGAGCCGACTCAGACCCAGAACTTAAACCAAATGATAGATGCAGATTCAGCCTTAGTCACAACGGAGGTATTAAAGTGGGAAAGGGGCATATAGTTACAATCACACATTCCATTCTTACACGTCAGCAATACCACCCAGACCGTGAGAGATATATGGTCCATCTCTAGCTAATCAAAGTTGTTTCTCCCAAGGACACCTTCCTGTGCGAAAGATGTCTCTTGAGGGCTGCATAGAAGAGTTATACAGGCAAGTGGTTCTACTCCTACACGCATACACTCACTCCCCCCCCCGTAGGAATTTATTATTTTATTTATTTATTAGACTTTTACCCCGCCCTCCCGCCAAGGTAATAGCAGGTAAGGGTGGATGATAAGGTGCTAAAATAATACTCTAGGGGTAAGCAAGGGGAAAGGTTAATACAACAATAGGCAGAGCAACAGACATCAGGATTTTAAGGCACTAATACAACAGGTACAGATAGTCGGCCAACCAGAGCCTGACACCTTGCCAGCAAGTCAGGGGGGCTAGCCTGGAGATGCTCCACTGTAGCTACGAGCCTGGGGTGAACTCTGTGGCTTTATACCCACCACAAACCCCACCCTCCATGCTTGAATCTCCGGTATTTCCTCAACCTGGTGCTGATAACTCCAGGTTGAGGAAAGTGTTTATTGATGGATCCAGTACTAATGATCACATCTACAGCTTGTGTCAGGAATAGCCGACAGTGTAATGGCCTCTGAGTTATAGTGTAATCAAACGTCCCCGTCCCCCCATGAGCTGAAGCCAATGACTCTATCGCACGCACGGGCTGAAGCAAGCGGGCAAAGCGCAAAAACCGTTACCTTTCCCAGCCAAGTTAACTGCAGCTGGGAACAGGAATAGCCGACAGTGTAATGGCCTCTGAGTTATAGTGTAATCAAACGTCCCCGTCCCCCCATGAGCTGAAGCCAATGACTCTATCGCACGCACGGGCTGAAGCAAGCGGGCAAAGCGCAAAAACCGTTACCTTTCCCAGCCAAGTTAACTGCAGCTGGGAACAACAGCAAGGTCAAGCATGAGATAGCGCACAGAAGCTGGACAGGAAAGAGCTGAGAATGAAGAGGAGGTGCACCCCTCCAGATCTACGCCAGGGCTACCTGACAGGTGCTCACGCAGTGGCACCAAATGCCTCCAACGGGCGCTAAGTTCAAGGCCGAGAAAAGGGGCTTACTTACGCACTGCATAACTAGCCTGTGGAATTCACCGCCCCATGATAGAGACAGGTTCTCTGCCAAGGTACCTGGCTTCAGGCTCTCCACACTCAAGTTCAGTGAATCAGGCAAAGATACTTTGATGACGAAAGAAAAGAGGAGGCAGCCTCGATTAACAGTAATTAGCTAGACAAAAGGAAAATCCGACATCCTTCACACAAGACAGTCAATAAAATCAGCCGAAACTGACTCAGACTCCAGAAGGTAGGGAGAAAATCCTGCCCAAGAGATGTACGCTGTGTTTTTCCCCCTTCCCCCGCCCCTTTGGCTTTTATCCTGGGGGGCAACCTGTGAGCACGCTCCCCCTCCCTCCCTCCAGTCCAGCTGTTAATGAAGATATCTCAGCAGTGCAGCTTTTGGCACGATAGGAGGTTGGTCCTCCCCTCTAGCCCTCATTTAGTTCTTTGGAGTTGCTGTTTTGCACACAAGCCGGTCTCTTCCTTACAGATGGCCATAAGTTTTTAGATGGCCAGGAGTCCTGCAGGGGGAAGGGACCCACACCCTGCTGCAAGTTGTTGTTGTCCAGTCGCACAGTCGAGTCCGACTCTCCGCGACCCGGTGGACCACATCACACCAGGCCCTCCTGTCTTCCGTCCTCCTTCGGAGTGTGCTTAATTTCATGTCCGTTGCCTCAATAACACTGTCTCACCATCTCACCCTTTGCCGTCCCTGTCTTCTTTGACCTTCAATCTTTCCCAGCATCAGGGTCTTCTCCAGTGAGTGCTCCCTTCTCATTTGGTGGCCAAAGTATTTGAGCTTCAGTTTCATTATCTGGCCTTCCAGGGAACAGTCAGGGTTGATTTCTTTCAGGATTGACTGATTTGATCTCCTTGCAGTCCAAGGCACTCTCCAGAGTCTTCTCCAGCACCACAATTCGAAAGAATTTATTCTTCAGCACTCAGCCTTCCTTATAGTCCAACTCTCGCAGCTGTACATGACTACTGGGAAGACCATTGCTTTGACCAGTGTTCCCTCTAAGCTGAGTTAGTGTGAGCTAGCTCACAGTTTTTTAGACTCCAGCTAACAGATTTTTGTCTCCGCTCAGGAAGGATCACTCCAAACTTCTGGTTGATGGCGGCACGCTAGGCAGACGCGTCTCCCGGACCTCCCGAGGATGCGGTCTGTGCATGGCGGGAAGGAGGGGGAGCGCTGGCCCGTTATCCCCCCAGGGAGCCTGGCGGAAGTCAGCTTAGAGGGAACTCAGCTTAGAGGGAACATTACACATTCTCTCTCTCTCTCTCTCTCACACACACACACGACACACATATATAAAGACGTCTTCATATTTATTTAAATGAGAGAATGCCTACAGAGTAAGGCCACACAAATTCATCATGAATAGAGAGAAATAAGGCCGTAAGGGTTAGACATCTAAATATATACACACATAAAGATGTCACGACTTTAATGCCAGTAGCTCACAAAGTAGAATTTTTGCTCACAGGACTCCACAGCTTAGAGGGAGCACTGGTTGCCATATAAGAAGTTCCTGTTGCTGTGGAGTCCTGATGAAGGGATCGATAACCCGTTGAACAATCTGGAGAGTGGGTTGACTGCAGCACATTATTGTTTGTTTCAAGTCTTAAGGACCGGATATAGGGTCTGCAGCTCCTTTTGCATTGTTTGCCTTAAGTCCTAAGGGCTGGATTTACTTGCTTGATGGACATTTAGAAATCACGTTTTTTGGTCCATTGGAATTGTGACGTTTCTCTTGGGATTGTAGAGTTTTCTTCAGATCCCCAGTCTGTCTATGTATCAATTGTATTTTCTCTTTACAGCTCCCCAGGATCTCAGGTGGAGGTCTTTCCCATCACCTCCTGCCTGGTCCTTTTCAACTGGAGATGCTGCTGGGGATTGAACCTGGGACCTTCTGCATGCCAAGCAGAGGCTCTGCCACTGAGCCACGGCCCGTCTTTACAGCTCTCCAGGGTCTCAGGCAGACGTCTTTCCCATCACCTCCTGCCTGGTCCTTTTCTAACTGGAGATGCCGGGGATTGAACCTGGGACCTTCTGCATGCCAAGCAGAGGCTCTGCCACTGAGCCACAGCCCCACTTCATGGCTCTCTAGGGTCTCAGGCTGAGGTCTTTCACATCTCCTCTTGCCTGGTCCTTTTCTAACCTCTGCTTCTGCCTCTAAGTCACGGCCTTTCCCTGTATGTCTTGCAACACCACAAAGGAGGCTGAGAAAACCCACCTGGGCTGTGCACACACCAAAAAAAAGCCATCCGCTTCCCTGCACTGCAGGGGAGTCATAGGAGTGTGCAATGTGATCCTGGCAACGGGCGAGTGCGTCAGTGGGCACTTTGACCCAGAGGAAGCTCCCTTTGCCCAGTTCAGCAAAAAATCAGCAGGATGGAACGAATCCGTGGGTCATCCCTCCCCCCAAGTGCTCCTTCTGTCTTGTCCTAAATGGAAAGTTTGGAAGTTTGGGGGTGGAACCTGGGGAGGACAGGGACCTCAACGGGGTCCAATGTCATAGAGTCCCTCCTCCAAAACATCCATTTTCTCCAGGGGAACTGATCTCTGTGGTCTGGAGATGAGCTGTAATTCCCGGGAATCCCCAGGTCCCGCCTGGAGGCTGGCGTATTCAGCCAGTCTGGTGTCGTGGTTAAGTGCACGGACTCTAATCTGGGAGAGCCGGGTTCGATTCCCCACTCCTCCACTTGCACCTGGCTGGTGTGACCTTGAGCAAGCCATAGTTCTGTCAGAGCTGTCCTTGAAAAAGAGCAGATTCTGTCAGAGCTCTCTCAGCCCTGCCTACCTCACAGGGTGTCTGTTGTGGGGAGGGGAAGGGAAAGGAGATTGTGAGCCGCTCTGAGACACCTTTGGATAGTGAAGGGCCATGGGGTATAAACCCAATCTCTTCTCTCTTTTCTTCTTCAGATCTGAGGACCTCAAACCTGCATAACCCTTTTCAGATTCCTAGAAGCCAGGGGAGATCCTTCCAGCCCGGCCTCTTTCGTTCTCTGCTGCCTTGGTCCATCTCTTCCTCCGAAGGTCTGAGTCCCCCCCCCCCTGTAGGGGTTTGCTTGCCAGTCACTCACCAGGTTCACCACCTTCATCCTTGCGGTCCCGTGGAGGCTCAGGAGCGAGTGCAAATGTCTCCAAGGAAGCCCATCCCTGGCTGTTTATAGCTCTGGCTCTTATGCAAGCGTCAGCGAACCGGAGACAGAAGCGGGGGCAATAAGTGACCGGTTAACCTACCAGGGGCCAAACTCCTTCTTTTCGGCTGGGCATCTGAGCAAACCATTAATTGGGGGCGGCTTGTAGACACTTCAACAAGGAAGGGGAAACTCCCGCATCTTCGGGGGAAGAGGCCTTCACCTCTCACTTCTCAGCACAAACATCCTCCTGATGGGAACAGAGGTTGATGCTCGGTCAGCTGCCTTGGCGAGTGTGATGGGCGAAGGGTGGTGCTCTGTGTCAGGGCGACTGGGCAGCGGAGCGTGGGGCAGGCCCCAGGGGGGTGCTGCCCGTCCCTCATACCCCAGGGACAGGGTGGATCTTTTTACAGAGAGGAAAATACAGAGACAGGCAGAAAACATGGAAGGGAGGTGTGGGCCTGAGGTTTCTGAGCAATGAGGGTGGCATACTGCAAATGTGCAGAGTGCAGCAGCAGCAGTAGGAAGAAGGGCAGGAAAGGTGGGAAGTAAGCCAAGCCGGGAAGGATTAAGCAAAACATATCTCTGCCAGCCTCTGGTGGTGCAATGTGCCATCAATTTAAGAACATAAGAACATAAGAGAAGCCCATGCTGGATCAGGCCAGTGGCCCATCCAGTCCAACACTCTGTGTCACACAGCAGCCAAAAACACCAGGGGCCATCAGGAGGTCCACCAGTGGGGCCAGGACGCTTGAAGCCCTCCCACTGTTACCCCCCCCCCCCAAGCACAACGAACAC